AAAAACCTCCCTTGCATGAAAAATCCTCTAAGACCTTCCAGAACTACCTCCTGCCTCCTGATCACCTTGCACAACCAACCAAACCTGTTTGCTTTTCCTTAAAACCTACTCCCAATTTTGGTTAAATGTGTTCCACTCATTCAAGTACTAATGCTGAAATTTTAGCCATTTTCAGCTCCTTTTACTACTTATCCATAGCATTCATTTTCCAGGTCCTACATTTCTATGTCCACATTTTTCTCTGCCTGTTGCATTCTTACAACCTTGCTCTGCCCAGGCTATACCATTTCTTCCTCCTTCCCAGCCATCTGCAGCATCTTTGCACCTTCCCAGCTTCCCTTCACATGGCCAACATGTATGCTTTTAAACACATGCCTTACCTAGAAAAACTTCAACAGCTCCTTTTTATCCACTTAATCCAAGTCTCCTGGTATTTAAGACTATGATAATGAGTATGGTTCAACATGGCTGATGTGCTGGGTCCTACCCCTGTGCCCCAGCTCTCCACACCAGGTCACTGCCCTAGCCATGCAAACAACCTCAGTGCCCCCATGCCTGTTTCTGCTCTTCTATGTAGAATGTTTTCCATTTTGGCCCATAGACATCCTACTCAACCTTAAGAGCCCCAGCTTTTTCTTTCATGAAGGCTTCCTAGATTTCCCTAGTAAGACAAAATACTCTGTGCATCCACTGAAGTTGGTCTATATCACAAAAATGATCATGGCCTAATTAATGGAGTGCTTAATGTGCACCAATGTCAGCCCCAATGAAGTGGGAGTTCCACTACTTATCAGTTCTATATCTTTGATTTCTCATCTACATGTGGAACATCAATACCTGCCTCATCAATACCTATCTTAAAAATGAGATAATACACATAAAGAAATTAAAACAGTTCCTGGCACAGGAGCAGTTACTTGTACCTGGACTTGCTCTGAGCCCTCTCTGAAGACCCCACGTCACATCCCTGTCGCAGCATGTGGTTCTGGAGTCGGACTTCCTGGAACTGAGGCCCAGCTCTGTCACTTACCAGCTGTGTGGTTTTTTGTCTTCGCAGTATGTTTTCCCATCTGCAATACGAGGATAATAAGAGAACCTACCCAACTGGGCTAATATGAGGATTAAGTAAGATAAATACAGCAAACACTTAGAACAGTGCTTGGCATGAGGGGAGTGCTAGCTACACTTATTAAGTCTGCATTCCCAGAGTCTAGCACAGCAACCGGGGGACATTGTTCAAGACATGCTACATTGTACTGAACCCTCTGTTTCTCTCTACAGTGCAATTTACATAAAGTTCTTCCCTGCATTAAGAATACTGACCCATCCCATTGTAATTTAGGTATCATCTATAGACAACCTCTGTTTATAAAATGTCCAGCTGCTACATTGTCTCATTGCTTGGTGAACCATTAGTGAGTATGATTGTGGGTACAACTCAATTATGGGTAGTTTATTTAGTCTTGGATTGGATTCTCTGAAACTCACAGGGTATTAATATATACATGTAATTTGATTAATCTGCCTATAACCTGTCAAGAGAAAGGTACCCCTCCAAAAGAAATGTATATTAAAATATGTTTACATGGATTTTGAGCTAGATTTTTGCAATATATATAAAGATATCATCTAAAAAGATAACAAGGAAGTATTAACAAAAAACACTAAAATAAACAAGACGTCATCCTCTCACTTCTAGAAATGCTTTGCAGTATTCTATTTCTGGATGTAATGAATTTTTTTTAAAACCCACGAAATATCTAATCTATACTGACAATTGGGGCAGGACGAGATACATTGCCTAATTCTCTGAATTTTATTTTGGAGTTTGAGTTATCATAAAGCTTCAGAAGGAAGTCACTGTTGATAATTGAGGGAGGCAGCATGTAGGGGAGCAGCCAAGACAGTAGTTCCTACCAACAATGACCCTGTTGAAGAAGCATGTATACTCAGATGTTGAGAAAAAAGGTAAAAGAAAGAAAAACAGATTCATTATAAATATTCAAAACTTTAATGACAAGTTTCTCAACCTTAGCACTATTGACATTTGGGGCTGGATAATTCTTTCTTGAGGGGTGCTGTCTTGTGCATTGTAGGATGTTCAGCAGCATCCCTGCCCTCCACACACTAGATGCTATTGGCACCCCTTGCTAGTTTTGTACTTTTCACAACCAAAAATGTCTCCAGACATTGTCAAAATTTTCCCAAAGGGAAAAATCACCCTGGTTTGAGAATGACTGCTTTGATGGGAAAAAATTAGTAAAAGTATTAGGTGGAACATTTTACAGATTATTTAAATGTTCCCTATTTTTAAGTATTTAAAAAGAACCCGGGACCGTGGTTCTGACATATATTGGCCCCACTGGCCCTCTGTGTGGAATGGGGTGATGAAGGTAAAGGGGTGATATGGAAAGATGTAGCACAGCAACTGGGGGACATCCTAAAGCTAAGGTGCCAGCTGGCCTTTCAACCAGCAAATCTGTAGAGCATGTAGAGTTACAGCACACTTAGACTGTTTTAAAGGAGATTATAATCTCATGACAAATGACTTCTAGTGTAGTTCACACCTGTTGCTTTTCCTGTTTAAGAAACACCTGGTTTATATGTTTCAACAGAGGCCATTATAAAGAAAAGAATGGACAAACATACAGCTCATTTCTTGTAGTACTTCACTGAAGTCATTTTGGGAAATTAAGTTAAATTAATTGCCTAAAGACAAGATTCCCTGGTCTTCCTTAGCAGGATATCCCCCTGTCCCAGATTCTCTTTATAATGGTAATAGAGATGCTGAAATTGGGATAAAAACTTTAAAGTTACATATAATGATGAAATTAACTTATAATGTTGCAAAAAAAAATACTTCCCCATACTGCATTAGTAATATTTGTTATTTTGAAGTATAAGGAATGAATAAATAAAGGAACAAATAAGTCTCAGACAATGGGGTACTCCAGGGCTTTAATCATATGCTAAGTAATAAAAAGAACTGGCAGTAATGTGCCCAAAGATTCCTATTTCTTTAAAATTAGAATGTGCCTAAAGATTATCTCCCAACTGAACTACAAACAGGTAATTTTATCTTCCTATCATACTTTGTCAACCCTGCAATTCTGAAGCTGCTCATGGTTTCCTCTGATGATGTACGCACCTTTATTCATATTAGGTGTTCAGACTGTGTCAGGGCTAAATACCTATTTAGCAAGAGGAAAACGTCAGAATCATAGGACAACAGCAGGAACCAGTAGACACTGCCTATAAAGAAATGAAGCTCTTGAAATAAATGCTGGATAATGACATAGTCTGCTTTGATTTTGGGCATGACCTCAAATAATCAACTCCCTTTGCCCTCTCCCAAGCCATTGAACCCACTTTAATCACACAAATCTTAATTTATAGGAAGAGTTTTGCTATTTGTTGAAAAATACATGTACTCTAAAATTCTAGGAGCCACTTTTATTAAAAAGTAGTGGTTTCTGTGTGACACACTCATACATGCAACACACAGCTCTGCTGACACGGAGGCAACCTGGCAGTTACACTGCAATCCTCATCAGTGGATTTCCATACTTGCTAGGGGTGGTGGTCCAGGTCACTCACTCAATTCCTTCAAGTCTTACCTCAAAAATGGGCATAAATACCTGCCCCTTCTTACCTGACATAGTGGTCCTGAGGTTCATGAAAGGAAATGTGGTTGTCAAGAGAAAAGGCATTGTTCCTACCAGTGCTGTGGCACAACTGCTCTCATAACATGCATGTTAGAGTCCAATTCTCTCAGCTCAGTCAGGGTCTTTGTTCATACCTTACAGAGAGCTGGCCGTACTGTGTCCCCTGCTGTTGAAATGTGAATACATTAGATTAAGAGAGTAAGAACTATACTAGACACAATGCCTCTTTATCATGAAGGTAAAACTGACGTAAAAATTTAAGAATCTTCCGAGGAAGGAAGTAAAACTCATCCTAATCAGAATTTCTTGGCCTTGGAACTTTACCTTCTGTTTCGTTTTGGTTTATTTACACTACTGACACCCTGAGCTCTCAGTGCCCTGGGTCCCTGGGATCCAATCTCTTGTACCTTCTCTTCATGTTTTCCCCCAAGCAACACAAAAAACCCCTCTGATTAATGTGAGAAACTTAATTAACTGAATGGCAGCTGAAATAGACTCCAGAAGGTACTGACCTTTTAACTCTTACGCTACTTGTTTCTGACTGCAGTACAAGCCTTGGACACCCTTGAAAGGAAGGCTGTGCATCTCAAATCAGATTTCTTGTTTCTTTTTCTTTTGGGGGGAGGGTATGGTGGTAGTTATAGTAGGGAGTATAAGGGATGGAAAACATCTTATATTCTCATTAAGGTAAAAAGGCATGTTCGTTCTCCAACAGAATGGTTCTCAGGTACAGAACTTATTCGTTTTCTCTCTTTTGAATTCTTAGAATGTCAATTCATAACTCACAGTTGATCTTCAACTGATATTTGAATTCAGTCACCTTGCTTCAGACCTGTCAGGCTGACAGGAAGAAAGGTCTCCTCAGACCTGAGATCTGTCCTTAGCTGGTCTCCCTGAGAACACTCCTCAGAGGCTTGGCTATGTCTATGAATCCAAATCCATCATTTCCTTGGCCTCCAAGACTCCCAAATGATGACTGTATTCCTGGGTTTGGGGCCATACTTTTTACTTAGTTATGTAGTATTTTCATACTGATGCCCTAGGATGCCTTAATATTATTTCTATTATTTCCACCACTGATTCTGGGTTTTCCTTTTTTTTTTTTTTTTTTAAAGTGGCTGTCACAATCTACCTTATTTCTTAATGCTGGGCAACTGAGAAAAGATACAAGATATAAAATCCATCTTAGCCAAGAAGTCCTTTCCATCAAAAGTTGTGAAATTTTCTGTCCACATTTTTGGAGATTACCTTTTGAAATTAAATTTTCTAAAATACTATTTTTTAATTTGAAGAATCTTGTTTCCAAAAAAGTAACTTTCTCACCAATTCAAGTAATCACTTTGCCAATTATTCTTTTATTTGTATTATACACATCAAATTTTACAGAAAAAAAGAACCCCTTATTGTTAAACTCTAATTAATTACATGTTTTCTTCTGATTCTTTTCAATGTAGACACCTAAATTTTTACACAAATATAATCAGTACATAAAATGTTTTAACATTTTTTAATCTCATTTAACATTTTTCATACAATTTCACATATATCAATATCATTTAATGACTACGTAACAGTCTAAACAGCAATACCAATACATCATAATTTACTTATCCATTTCCCAATTACTAGACTTTTTTAAAACCCGTATGAATGGAATTGCTAAAAGTATCTTTGTTCATGTAGCTTATTTTCTCTTCTAAATATTTTCCTGGGTGTATGCTGTTCAAAATGACTTCATCTAGCAAAAAAATAAACTGGTTACAAAGCTCCTGTTATATTCATCTAAATAGTTCTTTTAAAAATTACTAAAATAATATTGCTACTGGTAGAGACACATGAGCTTTAAAATGTTAATAGCATAAACTAAGTCAAAGTTGTTACAATTTGTATTTTTAATACGAGGAAACCTGAATATCATTTCAGGAATTGACTTTTATTTGTATCTTCTCATGTGTACTCTATCCTTTCTTAAATTTGCTTCATAAAGAGTAGAAACTTTATGGTTTTGCATCTCCTTTTAAAAAAAATATTAAGCACTTTGTCCATGTAGAATGCAAGTAGCTTTTTAAAATCCAATCTCTTCTTTTTTTTATCTTTTTCCTATTTAGTGTCCAATTTTCATTTTTCTCTAGTTGATTTCACCTTCCTTGCCAATATTTTTCACTGCCATAAAGCTCCTTTAGTAATACTGGGATGAGAATTGTAGTATTTTTATTTTTACCTTTAAAATCAACATTTTAATTCATACAGAATGAATTGTCTTATCACATGTAAAGTGGGCCTAATTCTTTTTTTCATACGGACATCCAGTTAGTCTTTCCATCAGTAGTTATCACATAATTATTTCTTTCCAACTGGTTTATTAGTCTTAAGCTTCCTACATAGCATAGTATATTTAAAAAGGTTACTTTAGGATTTAAAGGGCAAGACTCTCATTTTTTTCCTAAGTTAAAAAGATAAATCTATCTTTCCTTGCCTATTTTCTTGATTTGCCACAATTCTATCAAATTATATAAAATATCAGTGGGAATGTTAAGCAGAAGTGTAGTAAATCTACCTATTAATGTCACCTAGTGGCATTCCTTTGGATATGATTTCAAACACATTACATAACAATCTGCACAAAAATTCTATTCTATTTCAAATATCATTTGTTTTATTGATGGTGCAATTATTTTGATAGGTTTAAACCTTAGGATATAACCAATAAAACCACTTTGCCATTTAAAAAAATGTGTAAATATTAATACCAAGTCATGATTTCTCTATTTTCAATAAGCTGTAAATTACTTAAATTTTTGTTTCATTTTCCTCACATATAGAAGAGCAACAAAAGACTATTCATAGCTTATTTTGGCCCAGTAACATCTGTGTATTTTTAGAACATGTTGTTCAGATCAAAGGATAGGTTATTAAAAAGCATTAGTTTGTTAAAATTTAGCCAAATTCTGCTTCCCGTGAGCTCCTTACCTCTAAAGTGTATTTATTTTTAATTAATCCTAATCTTCACATTTCCTGATCTGAGAATAAGCTGAAAGACTGGAGTCTGTCTACTCTGCTTCACTGGCAACACTGCACGAACTTTCATAAGCAGCACCTGCATTCTTCTAACAGTTAATGTTAGCGGAAGGACTTCAAAACTTGGATCCCAATGTTGGCTCTTCTACATATCAGACCCTGGACAATTATTAATACTCATCTTTACTCTTTACCTCTTCTTTAAAAATGTATTCAATACTATCAGCCTCAAAGCGTGGTTGAGAAACTGTAACTAGAAAGCAAAAGTGCCTAGCACATAGTAAATGCTCTCTTCCAGAACAAAAATTAGCTCTGGAGGGCTCCCTTCTATAGGATTACCATTCTGAGGAACAGAAAACAGGAGACTGAAGGGGGCATTTTACCTCTTCTGACAACTCCACTGGAGTACAATAGTTTTGACTTCTGCTGGTTCTGGAAAAAAAGGGTTTTGTTCTCTAGATAACAGTTGAGAGGCAGAAGTGATCACAGAGGCAGTTACCTCACTAGTTTTGAGGTGGGACAAAAGGGAGGGGACATGGTTGAATCCTCCTTTGATTGACTACTATCCCTTGTAGTCAGTGCTGTAATTAAAGTGGTAGCACCAACAAGGTGATATAACTCACACTAAGAAACCTTGGGAAATCTATGGATGGCTTTGAAAAGCCATTGGTATCCCAGGTTAGAAATGCCTCACTCCATTTCTTCTTAGGAATTTCAAAACAGCCAACCTGAGGTACCTTTTCTTGGGGAAATATATATATATATATATATATATATATATATATATAAATTTTTTTTTTCCTCTTGATCTGAATTAGTTGTTGGAAGTTCTTTTCTTTTAGGTGCCAGCACAAGGCTCTGCAGGAATTTTCTGAAGTATTAAACCAGAACTAACCTTACCCTTAGATTTCCTTTGGGACAAACTTTCCAAGAATGAGCTCTTCAATGACTAGATGAACTGTCCAACACTTTTTGTAATACAGAAGACTGGTGGTGTCACTGCCCTGCTGCTTGTAAGGGTCAAGTAGGGGAACTGAACTGCACAATGTGTTGTAAACACTACACCTTCACAAATAAAGGATCATGCAAAGCTAATCTTTTAACAGTTGGCACTTGCATAAGTTGCTATTGCTACCACCATGTCTGTACATTTGTATTATATACAAAAGACCCACATAATTTATTCTGTGTGTTTATTCAGACATGGTAGCAACTGTAATAATTACAAAAGTAACTAAACTATTCCTTAGATATTATTGTTTTTATAGACTAATAAATCTGAAGATCATTAGCAGACATGTATTACCTCCCAGTATGCACAGTTGCTAATTTGGAACCCACACTTATATACTCAATACTAAAATAGAGCTAACCTTGTCCAATCATCAATCAATCAGTTGGTGATAAATTAACAACATCCCGTGACTGAATGTCTCAAATAGAAGTAAAGACAACATCTGCATAGCATTCATCATATAACCAATTCTTATTAATCACATAGGAAATGGTTCTTTAAATGAAAATATTCTGATGTCAGGATGAAGGCCCAAAAGAGCATTTCCGGTTTGCTCCTTTCTAGTCTTGAAGGTGGTTCTCTGGGCTTTCTGGGTTTTTATTTTCCTCAGAGGAGTCTGGTTTGGCCATGATTTTATTATTGGTTCCAAGAGCCTCAGGTTGCTTATCATCACCATCAAAGATTATATCTTCTGGATTTGGAGGTGGGGGGCAGAAGTCTTCATTGGGAAAGATCTCCTGGAAAAGTGTTTCAGCTTGCTTGACTGCGTGCTCATTTCCCAGTCCGCAGTCAGGCCCAGAGCAGACATAAACATTGGAAGGTAAGCCATTATATGAGCTTCTGCTGATTCCCGAGGAATCTCTCATATTAAAATAAAGAGCCCACAAGAGTCTTGGCTTTGTGAGTTCTTCCTTGTCTATTTCTGTTTCAGTATATGGGGTGAATAATTTCTTCACTACTGACTCTAAGTCTTCTCTTGCTGTTTTAGAAGATGAACAGGTCAGGTGTACCAGGTAGGTGTCTTTCATGCATGTCATGGTTGAAGAACATAATTCAGTGACACGAACAGCACATGTTCCTGATTCCATTGGAGGCACTATCAAAATGGAAATTTGCTGATCTGAATCTGCCTTCTTGAGTATAGACTGATCTGTAATGAGCACTGCCCTGGAGATCTGCTTATATTGCACATTTGAGCATGTTTCCTCAGAAAGGTAACTATCCTCCACAATAAAATATTTAGCATTTATTCTTTGATCTAAGTGATCTATAATTGCTTTACATCTTCCAGATTCTTTGTCAACTATAAGGCATTGAACTTTATGGCGAAGACAATAGATTCCACCAAAAACTGCACACATCCTGCAGAAACACTGGGGAATTTCTCCTTGGCCATACAAGGGAAATAAAAAGGGAGTGTTGCCAAACCGTCCAAGACACCGAAGGAAGTTTTTAGTTGCTTTAAGGCCATCTATTGTGGTGCAAGAGGACTCTGTCATTGCAATTGAGTGCAGCACAAAATGTTGGAGGTTGGGGGTTAATTTTTTAGTTTTTAAGTAATCTGAAAATGAGCAATGCACAAAAGCTTGGTATTGATCAGGATGTTGTTCATAGTCTAAACAAAATGTAAGAAATTTCATCAGTATCCTCTTTTCAACCATAGTGAGTTCTTTGCTATTAAAGACATCTGCTCTGGAACAAGGCACCTGTTCTACTTTTCCCTCACGAAATGCAAGAATCCTAGTGACGTTTTTAAATTCTGCATAACGACTAACATTTGATTTGATTAAAAGATCGATTAGCAATCCTTGAGAATACAGCAGCTTTGATACCAAATCAATATTAAATCTCCTGCCTTCTTTAACTATTTGGGAGTAAGTAATCCTATTTCTCTTTGGTTGATCAGTGTTATCTTCCTCTATAGGTTTGTTTTCATCTTTATCTCCACCTGAAGCTGTGTTTATACAGGTTTTATCTCCACAATATTTTTCTTCTGCCAAGATGTCCTCTACATCAGTTACTTCTAGTGAAATCTCTTCATCACTTTTTGGAGTGTCTTTGGCAGGCGTTTCAGAGCTAGTAACATGTAATGAGTTTGTTTCTTCGGACAAGCACACAGAATCCAGAGGTTTAGATGTTACTGAGGAAGGATTTTTCTGCAGAGCACTGATCTCTTCAATATTGTCATCCATATCCTGACTGGCATAACAGAAAACTTCTATGTGTTCAATGGTTTCATCCTTCTTGCGAAGAGCAATGGCTTCTTCTGTTTCATGCACCAGGCCTTGCCATGAAGCAGTGCTTTCTTCTGCACTGTCACCGTTTTGCTGATGCTCCTTTAACCAGGAGAGCAATCCCGAAAAGCTGAAACTTGCCCAGTTTCCTCCATAGTAACTTCTTGAATCAAGATGAAGAACCCTCTGACCACTTCTTGAACATGCAGCTGCCAGGATGGATTCAGGTAGACCTGTCCCTATTATGACCACATCGAACTCTGTGGGAAGACTGTCCGCCATTCTGGGAGATAAAGGGTCTGGTGACAACCGTCGATAAAAGAAATGTGTGTGAGTCAAGGCTGAGGGCTCAGCGGAGCTGTGAATATGCTGTAATAAAATCTCTCCTTGTGATACTCCAGTTCATCCCAGAAGTCCTGAGGTTGCAGGTCCTAACTGTTTAACAGTTACCCTTTCTTAATATTGTTTTCCTTATAAGTCAGTAGCATAAAAATAGGTAAGGTATATCTAATCACATCTGAGAACACTAAAACGGATGTGTGGTTTTCATTCCTGCATTTCATCTTAGCAGTAAATGTCAAAATGCATCACACATGCATTTGTGACTGGAACTCTTCTCTGAAAGAAGAAAATTCAAGAAAGAATACAGTTGTAAACAATATTAAGAGAAAAATAACTTCATGCAACAGCAATTACAATTACTCCATTGGAGTCTGACTTGTTATCAAGACATAAGCCTCTAGGAAAGCAAGTCATTAAATGCTTTCTTACATATTTTCTAATTTCTCAAAAATGGACAAAAGAGATTTACCCTCAAAAACACGCAATAATGAGGAAGGGACATCATGATGTCCCATTAAGCAAAGGATTTCCATAATATAATTCTGTAACTTTTGCTTTTAATAAAATATTTGAACTATACAGAACTGTGAGCTTAGACTGTAAGAAATGTGTGGTTCCACCGTGTTTATGGAAACAGACTACATATACATACTATGTGCACATTGTCATGATGAGGAATATTTCTGCAGCCAATTTAGCCTGTGGGTGATTTTAGAACAGTTGAATGAAAGATATTTCCATGCCACAACCACCCTTAGGATCTCGTGGTAGCATCATGAGACCATTTCAACTGAATTAACCAGCCAGATTATTGCAAAAGGATTAATTCATTAAAACAACTGGCATTTTGAGATATTTAGGTGCAAACAGGTCTACTGAAGGAAATAGGCATTTTTAACAAATCTTCCTATGAATGTACATATGCACATGTGTTTTTTTTAGGTTTAAGTTAAAACAGAAAATTCCTACCTTTGTAAGTTAAAATATCTCAACATAAAAAATACCTACTTCTAAAATCCAAGAGAAAAAAAAAAATCCAAGAGAACATAGGGTGACTTGCATTTTGCCAGACTCTGGCTCTATGACCTTGAATCTCTGTATCCCAAGATAAAGGCCTGTCTCAACATCCTCTGCTAAGATTAACACGTTCTTTGCTGTTTTTTGAAGGGATAGGAGGTAGCAGTGTAGAAAGGCTCTCCTGTTAACTTCTGGCAATAATACTGGTCATATACCACACACACAACATTTGTGTGGCACTAGGGGCGGCTAGAGGTGCAACAGCTAAAGGGGAGGGGGGCTTGAAAGGCATACTCACCTGAAAGTCTTTAGGCTAAAGCACTATACACAGCAAGTGAAGATGGCGCCTATCAGCTGTCATTGTGCAGTTAAGAGGGAGAGTTCTTGGAACTCTAATTTTCCCTATTATCACACTTGCTGAAATCTAGATCAGTACTACCTGGGCCTGTCTAGGGTAAGATGATGAATTAGCCTGGACATCTGTAAAACAAACCATTCAAATGAAAGTTGGATTAAATTGACTGGCTCCCTGAACAAACTGACTGGTCAGCTTAAGTGAAATGGCCATCTTAAAAGTCCTGTCTAGTCAAAGCCTCAGCCTCAAGAATATCAGAGATTCTACTTGTTTTCAGCATTCCCTGAAAAACCAGGAATTGAGCACTGAATGAGGCAGTTGCCTGGCCTCCCCATACACATATGTAAGTATGTCTGCATTACTTATCCTGCCTTCTTCAAGCAGGGTGTGCGGAGGAAGGCAGAACCCAGGGAGGTATACAAAGAAATGTAACCGGAGCATGGGTTTATTCTTGGCTTAGGAGATAGAGCAAAGGATACAAACCATAAGTGCAAAAACCAGGCACCTTCTAACCTACAGATGTCGAGTCCTCAAAATACTAAGCACATAGGACAGAACAATCTTAACACTTAGCTCACTCTTGCATACAAGAGATAACAAAACTGAACAAAACTGATGGCAAGAGAGATTAAGTGACTGGGAAAATCCACACAGCAGGTTAGCCAGGTGATAGAGTAGAACCCACTCTCATGTCATCAGACCAGTGCGCTTCCCACCTGATGGGCAGCCTCTCCAGGAACCTCCGGAACAAGCGGCCTCTTTGAAATTTTTAAATTTCATCCTCCTTCAACACTTCACGGTTGGCTAGTTCTTGTTCAGGGATAACTACAGGGGAAGCATCTTCCCTTTCTTCAACTATAACCCTTATCTGGAAGCACAATCCTTGGAATTTACTTCAGGCAAAGAGATTCTTAATCTTGGCTAAGCACTTTTCAGTTCCTTCATAATCCCACTACTGACTGACTTGTTTCCCGGGGCTTAAACAAAGTTTTTGAATTTCTTACCCCAGAGTTTCCACCTCTAATTTAAAAACAGGGATAAAGTCATGGTTGAGAGCAGTAACCATATGCCCAGAGAAATAGAGAAACAGAGCAATTGTCAGGCAAAACACTGTGTGGTGAGCATTTCTAGCAGTCTTGGAAAAATCCCTTCGGACTAGGATGGGACTGAGCAGGGAGGAATGAAGGAGGAGGAAGCAATGGAAGGAGACACAGCAGCAAATGAGGTCACAGAGGCAAAGATGAGGAAGAGGGTGAATGCTGGTCCTATTAAAGAAGTCAACATACCCTTGTTTTTAAACCCCCAGGCAGAGAGTCCAAATAGAAACAGAACTGCCCAGCACAGAAAAAGCACTTCTTGGAAATACCAACTTTCACTTCTGTGATCAAACACTTGTTGCCCACCCCAGGGAGCATTACTGAGGACACTTCAGGTCTAAGCTTCAATCCCCCTCCGTAATTTAAAACTTAGCCCTGCCTTAAAAATTGCCTGACAGGTATTTTAAATTAATGTAGAGTATAAGCACATAGCCGTCTATATCACCACCTACATACACTTAGAAACCCCACCCAAGTTTCAAATCTTTGTATAAACAAAATTCTCAGATTGCTTACTGGGGGGTGGAGGGGGGAGTAGTATTAGAATATTAGAATCATTGAGTCAATCAAATAAAGGAAACCATGATTTCTATGACATTTTTTCTTTCCTTCAAAATACCAAGAATGAATTATAACAAATACCATCATATTTGGGTTTGCCACAACATATGAGGTTGGTAAGACAACTTCCGATAATGCTACAAAGATTTTGTTCTCAAATACGTGCTAAGATAAAAACAGTAATAAAGGGATCCCTGGGTGGCGCAGCGGTTTGGCGCCTGCCTTTGGCCCAGGGCACGGTCCTGGCGAACCGGCATCGAATCTCACATCGGGCTCCCGGTGCATGGGGCCTGCTTCTCCCTCTGCCTGTGTCTCTGCCTCTCTCTCTTTCTCTCTGTGACTATCATAAATAAATAAATTCAAAAAAAAAAAACCAGTAATAAATTAACATTACATTTCAGGATTGTTTTTTTCAAGGAACTTTAAGACCTGAGAAATACACATCCCTATTTCACATCTTGTGCAAATTAAATTCCTGGAACAACGCACAGAAAGCTAATTCCCAAGCTTGGGAAAAAAAAAAAATCACACTTTCAATGATACATTGAGTGGATCATCCTTCAAAATGTCAAGTCTCAGGGAGACTTGAACCTTCTACAGGATCAGGACTATTTTGAAACAAATTTTCAATTAACAAACAAGTTCTACTTTAATGAAATCTCCTGGCTGCACAGCTAATTATTTGACCATCTAGGGTGGGATTTTCTGCTGTAATCTCACCTTAGATTTCGGGTGTGCTGGAACCACTGAGGAGGAAAATATAGTAAAAAACAGCTTATAGGCCACATGCCGATGTGCACTCTTGGGACCTGAATGAAGCGCTTTCACTTCCTAGGAAGCATTCAAAGCATTCAAATGAGCAAAATCAAAGAAAACAAAATCACACACTGCCACTCTGCCACATTTCTACTTCTCACTTTAGGAAAACAAACAGTACTGAGTTAGATCTCTTCGCATCACCCTCTCCAGCTTTCATGAGTTAGTCACTCTTTTCCTTGAATCTGTTGACTCTACAGCCCCTCGTTTCTTTCATCAAAGTGTAAAGCCGCGGTTTCGTGCCCTGTCGAGCTGTACTCGGGGACGAAAACAGAAATGAGATGAACCGGACAGCGGATGGAGGGCGACGGGCACGACCTGGGCCGAAGCCGGGCTGCGGGTCAAGGGGGGGCCGCGGGGAGAGGAGTGGCCCCAGGGGCAGGGCCCAGGCCGCCGGGGCGACGGCAGGGGCAGCAGTCGGAAGGAGGCAGGCCAGGCAGCGTGGGGTGGACGAGGGCAGGGGCGGGCAGGGCGGGCCGGGGAGGCCGCCCGCGGAGGAGCAGGAGCGCAGCGGGACGGGCGGCGGGGCACGCGCACGGAGGGCGGCACTGCAGGCCACGCCAAGGTTCCGGGGAGCGCTTCCCCTCCCGGCCCGACTCACCGAAGAGGCTGCTGCTAAACCCGTCCCACACGCAGCCCACGGTGTCCCAGACCCAGCCGTTCCTCAGGCAGGACACGAAGGCAAAGGTGACCCCGAAGAGGGACACCAGCAGGTCGCTGAGGCTGAGGTTGACCAGCAGGAGGTGGGTGGGGGTGCGGAGCCGCTGGAACTTAGAGTAGAGGACGAGCACCAGCAGGTTGTTGCCGACGCCCAGCAGCCCGACGGAGCCGAGCAGCAGCGCCAGGCGCTCGTAGGTGCCGGGGCTGAAGAGCGGCGCGGGGCTCAGCGTCCCCGCCGGTCCCGGTCCCTCGGCGCCCGCGGCCCCGCCGCCCTCCCAGTGGCCCTGGCCGCCGCTGCGGTTCCCCGAGTACATGGCCCGGCGCCCGCGCGCTCGGCGGAAGAGGCGCTCAGCCTCCCGCGACGCCCGCGGCGCGCTCCGCACTGGGTGGGGCTCCGGCTCCGCAGCCCTCTCGGCCCATTGTGCGCGCCGAGA